TATATATATATATATATATATATATATATATATATATATCTGGAAGTTCATCTTTTTACCTTCTGGATTTCGTAGAATCAGTTAAAACCCTATGCGTGGTATATATATATGAGCGATTGAGTTACGGAGGTTTAATTTTGTGCCGAAAAGGAAAGGGTTTCGGGAAGAAGATGGTGAGGGGGAAGACGCAGATGAAGCGAATAGAGAACGCCACGAGCAGGCAAGTGACGTTTTCGAAGAGAAGAAACGGGCTTCTCAAGAAGGCCTTCGAGCTCTCAGTTCTTTGCGACGCCGAGGTTTCTCTCATCATTTTCTCCCCCAAAGGCAAGCTCTATGAATTCGCCAGCGCCAAGTACGTATACTCCTACACCCCCATTCCTTGTACGTATTTTATCTTTTGTTGGACTACCCCTTTGGATTGCAGATCTTTCCTCAGTTTTACTACTTGTGAAAATCCATAGGTTCACTTGCTTCCGTTAATGGGTTTCTTGGGTTTTTGCATCTTAGGGTTATTAAGAAAAGAATCAAGTCCATGTTATTATTAAATGGTTCAAGGAAAAAAAAAATAGAAACGAAAGAGCTCACTGGCAGGCACTTGCACTGTCCTTTCACGATATTCAATTCAATGGATATCAGGGATGATCACAGGCACCTTGAATATTGGCCTTTGCCACATTGTCCTTTCTGTGGTTTCCGGTTTATGTTACACTCTCCTATATTATACAAAAAACTTGTGGGTTTGTTTCCATTTTTTTCGGTTTTCGTCTTTTGCCATACTTTTAGTCAATAATAGCATGCCCGATACCAAGAAGGTGCACATTTATAGCTTATATCCTTGTGATCATCACTCCTCGGGGACGTCATTTCAAGGTGCTTCATTCCATGTTCATAGTAGTTTAGTGCCGAACCAACTCATAGTCAAGACTCCAAACCAAGACTTCCATTTTTTGGCAAGAGTAATCGAGGCCTCACCTGTTGTTTGTTTCCGGTTGACCGCCAATGTGGAAATCTACGGACAGACCCTATATATATGGATTGCACATTATATTATGACTCGAGAATGGTCGGTTTATATGGAGCAGGAAAATAGGATCTAAAACATAACAAAATTTCCACTTTATAGATAGTTGTACAACCAACTCAGCTGCTTAGCAAATGTAGTTCTAACTCTCCTTCTCCCTTTGCTTGTACTAATTTTTTTTAATCTTAAACAACACTATGCATAGGGTAAATTATAAGCCACTTGTGTATAAGTTTCTTACTTTTATACGCAGTTAAAAAAAAATTATGAGAGAATAAGGTAGGTGAAGAAGGAATTATGACACGTTGTATTGTATAGGTCTAAGTAGGTCTAAGGTTTGATTGACTTGCTAGTTTAAGGAGTCATACTGTTAGTGAATGTGTTAGAATCTTTCTCGGAAGCACGTAACCGATTTTTTTAAGGAATCTTACTGTTTGGATTCCTATATATGCATAATTAAGTATATATATATATATATAGAGAGAGAGAGAGTTGAAATCTCTCTCTATATATATATGTATGCTGCTCGTGTGGAGTTCATGGGGTTTCACTTTGTTGAACAGCATGCAGGAAACTATTCAACGCTACCTGAGGCATACCAAAGATCGAATCAGCAACAAGCCACCATCTGAAGAAAACATGCAGGTATTTTACTTTCACCTAACATAATATATAGTTCTCTTTAAAAGTTGACATTTCTATCCTCAAGAAATTGCAGATGCAAGTGATCATATTATTCAATGCTCGAACTTGTTCTGATGCGCTGATTATGAAACTTGCAGCATTTGAAGCATGAGGCGGCTAACATGATGAGAAAGATTGAACAACTTGAAACTGCAAAACGGTTGGTGAAGTATCTGCTTGATTTATTTGACAAGAAACTGAGCTTTTTTAGTTCACACTTGCTGTATATGTGTATATGTGCGGTATAAGATTGTTAAGTTGGTTAATGTCTGATGTGATTTCTCAGGAAACTCCTGGGAGAAGGCATAGGATCATCCTCAATCGAGGAGCTTCAGCAAATTGAACAGCAGCTCGAGAAAAGTGTGAAAACCATTCGAGCAAGGAAGGTATGCATATATGCATACATACTAACCCTTCTTTTTCAATCTTCTTTCAAGCCACTTAACTGCCCAGTTACCATAATGCAGTATGTTTTGGTCTTTATGCATGTATTTACGTACATACATATACATATATATATGCATGCAGACTCAGGTGTTCAAAGAACAAATTGAGCAGCTCAGACAAAAGGTAATGTATCGAGAACCCCAGCCATGGTGTAAACATATATGCATATGTTAAAATGAAGCTTACCCTTTTGCCAATTAATTCTTGATTGTCTTCGAACCAAAACTTCAGGAGAAAGCCCTTGCAGCAGAAAACGAGAGGCTCTCCAAGAAGGTAAAAAAACTCATTCTTAAAAAAAAAAAAAAGCACCACTTCATTTAGTTTACACGCGGCCTGCATGCTAGATTACATGCATATTTGTGATTCTTGTAAAGCAGCCGGCTTAGTTACCATAACTTGTGGACAAGTTAACAACCACAGAGCCGCTATATATATATAGCCTTCTTATATATCAGATTACTAATTCAACACACACAAATCCGACATAAAAACCTTATTTGTAACATGACACAGGCCACTCCTGATTTTGCAAGATATGAAACATATCCACAGTCCTGTCTCGTTGTGTTCTTTTATTTTAGTTTGTTGGAATTAGGAGGAGAAATTTGTGATCATTTTTCTTCAAATTGGGTTTTCATTATCGTTGTTGAAGTTTCAAAGCTTCAAAAATGTTTCTTTTTTCTTTTTATATATTTTTTGGTTCTTTAGTCTTCCGTTGGTTGTGGGAATTCTAGCTCACTCAAGAAATTCTGCTAGTAAACTTTTAGCAATTTGTTCTTCCAAAACGGTCTTTAATTTGGCATCTCTTGAGTCACCTTGACTTGCAGCATTAAAACCCATTTTCACTTTGCAATTTGATTAGTGCTAAATGATCGATTTATATCAATGGTAAGGATTGTCTGTCTACATATCAACAAATATGTGTTATGATCCCTACATGAAACAGGAAAGGTGTTTTTCACGGCTCGACCATGTAGTTAATGTATCAAACATGTCGTTCTTTCCGTAGGGTGCAGCACATTTGGATGTGTTTTACCCCATAAACATGTTGCATACTGATTTTGAAAACTCGGGTTTCGGCTTATAGAACTATGCTACTTATGTTTCACTGATATTTTTCCTTAGTGTTTTTTTTTTGTCATTGGTTAGAAGGAGAATATTGTTATCTCGCGAACATCATAAGTTGTATACCATTGTGATAAACAAGAACTTAAGGAACGTGTGTGTGTGTGTTTTCAGTGGGAAGTTGAGGAGGGTCAAGCCGGGTTGGATAAGCAGCCGCAGATAACTGCAAGAGCCGAGGAGAGTAGCCCAAACTCGGACGTAGAGACAGAATTGTTCATCGGCTTGCCTTGTTCTTCAAGAAAGTGAAACCC